CCCCCTCCTCCTCTCCTCTCCTCTCCTCTCCTCTCCTCTCCTCCCCTTCTCAGTCTGCTAAGGCCTTAACATGAAGTACTACAGCTTGCTGCCAAATAAACCCAGGGTAGAGACAAAAAAGGAAAAAACACAGCTCTGAAGGAATCCTTACATTCTTTGGAGCACACCATACTTTTGAATTAAATACTTTTCAACACTAAATATATATTGCTAGCAGTGCCAAATTTCTATTGAATGGAAGGGACTTTGGCCATTGAGATATGGGTTCTCCTCTTCTTACCTTCTCCTCAGCTACATTTTCTCCTTGTGTCACAGACTCTTTCAGCTCTACTCCTGGATCACTTAGATATTCACTGTGAACATTCATTATTACTCCTTTAGACCTGGAGTCATCTTATGATATGATGTTTTCCCAATCACAGTGCCATAGGGTGTGAGTTTATTGTGCTGTCTCCTTGCCTTTGTACTCCTCTATTTTGTTTATAGTATTTTTAATTGAGTCTTGGACTCCCAATCTGCATTCTTTAAATATAGAGCAGATAAACACTTGTACAGACACAATTAAGTCACAGCCAGGTACTGGTGTTTTCCTCCCTGCTGACTTTACCTCTGCTGAATGCAGTTCATTAACATTTCCATAGTTTTTGGTTACCCCATATTGGAATTTAAGTCTGTATTTGCTTGCTAGCTTATTGCCTGTTCGAAACACCACTGCTCATTTGTTTTCAGATACATCAGATATACAGCGCTAACTCCATGCGCCTGCCTACTAGCCAATGCGGTCTGAATGCCCCAACCTCAGCTTTTCCTAATGGACTCAAATATTTAATTGTGCTCTGAAAGACATTTTTTTCCTTTCCCTGACCAAAACTGAATGGACTCACAAAGTAACATGCAGAAATGCATGCAGTATTTACCAGTTTCTCCACTAGAGCACAAGTGGAAAATGATCAGCACTACTGTTCCAATGAGCATAATTACCACAATCTCACAATGCTGAGACCAGTCAGAAAGCTGCTTCTTGTAGAGCATTGTGTTGAATTACGTACTGATCGGGAACAGAGTGTTGCCATGGGTGTCTTTGAGTCCACCTTGTTAAGGTTGCCTTCTCAATCAGTAGTGTTAGGGATTGAATTTATATTTGTATTTCAGATGCATTAGCTTACTACACCACTGAGAGTGTCCATTTAAAGATGTAAAGCTGAGCTGTGGAGGGATACTGAAGTTGGGTCCCAAACCTGAAGCACTATAATGCAGAGGTATATATCATGAACTATACAGCTAGATTTCTCCAAAGATCTCCATCAGTATCTCTGCATAGTCCTCTGCAGAGTGATATGAAGCCGCAGCAGCTCAGGGAACGAGTTTATTTATATTTCTACATGGCATAGCATCTCATGATATAGGAATACCTAGAGAAGCTGGGCATTATGAACCATACTGAAATGTTTCACTCTTATAAGAGAAACAGTTTCAGAGAGTAAAGGCTGGGGGGACTTGGTTTTTTGTTTGTTTTTTTCTCCTTGGGAAAATTGAAAAACACGAGCAAGTAATGTTTCACTTATTTTGTAAAACCACAAAAGTGTCAGCCTCTAAAAGAGTGAGCTTTCTCTGATCAGGATGTTTTTTGCTATAGCTGTGTGGAGCTCCGAACTAGTTTCTATTTATCACAGTAGAAGAGCTCCCATTGAGTTTAGGGGGAGCAGATGCCGGCTCTTTGTGACCTACCAGTGCACCTGAAGCAGATGTTCATAACCATGCAGAGGTATCTGCCCAGTTCGTGCCTCGTTGCTAATTCACCACAGTCATCTTTCTCTTCTAACACACCCTACATCAAGTAACAGCCACACACCTCTTTAATTTCCTTTTTGAACTCATAGGCTTATTTTACAAACATCTATAAATAAAGGACAATGAACAAAAATAAATTTTACAGAAGCCAATAAGGACAATGCAAATAAAGAAAACCAGTTTGCTGACATAAAAAAAAGTTAATCAACCATCTGGAGGTGTGCAAAATCTTTTGTGAATGGGGTATAATAGTGAGCGTAATCTTTTTCCCTGAGTTTACCAGTTTGTTAAATAATACATTTGTCTTTCTTTTTCACCCTGAATTTTTTGTATTGTTTCATTCAGAGTGAAAACCAGTTCTAATGCCCATGGCACAAACTGCTTCTGGATTTCTTCCTGACAGAGTTTATTCATGATACAATATACTCGTATATTGTATATTGTGCAATGTGCAACATGAGCATACTCATATTCTTGGTAGTAGTAATAATAATAACAATGCAGACTACTACTGTAGTAATAAATATGAATTAGAACAGTGTTTAAATCTGGTTGGGTATAATTATAGGTTGCCCCAGTGAACTAAATTTCAGTGGGGTTTGGTTCTATGGTTTAGGGTAGTCTTCATTAAATATAGGAAAATCCAGTTAATTAATTAGCCCTTAGTGTTAAATGAGTTTTTTAAGCCTGAGAGACAAGGGGAATGTGGGATTTGTGGGGACTTGACAGTGAACGTTTAATGATGTTAAACCCAAAGTGACTGTTAATATAGGCTACGGTACCTGAGAGTCAGAAATACAGTCAGAGAGATAAATGCAAATAAAGCAGCGAGGTTTAACAGGAAATGAAGAATATTAATTTACTCTGGATATTCAGATTGTCTTTGTATGATCTTAATTTTTTTTTATGGTTACAGTGCCAGGGTCCTTCATTCTTTTACTGTACAGAGGACAGTTAAAAAGAGTGACAAGAAATGTTACGCAAAATGTGAGTGAGTTGACTTTTTCTGAGCATTTATTCTGTTCTTTTCCTGGGTGATTTTCCAGCACATGGAAAAGCTGTTTACGAAAAGCTGTCCTTGGGAAAGGGAAGCTTTATACTGTCATATTCACATCTCTTCATTCTGGGGCAATCTCAGCAAGGATCAGTCCTGGTCTGCATCAGAAACTGTCCTAAGGCTTCTTTACCTGGTGACACTGTGTACCTGGCTGCTCTTTTCTGCTGAGTGGACTTTTAACCTCTTAGAGAGCCTCACCCTGTTCTTCTCATGTGGACATCTCTCTATGCATTAGGGCTTTTTCGTTCTTCCACCTGTTCCTCTTTACCCTCACAGCAGGCTTACCAAAAGGGAGTAATGGTATTGGTGCAGTTTGTCAGGGCCCTGAGGGCACGACCAGCCCTTCCTGGTCCTGGCCACCTCCCCGGGGGTTCCCCACCCTGCCCAGGGCCCAGGACTCCATGTCATCCCCCCAGGGCTGTCAGCCTCTGCCCCAGTGATGCCACAGTGGGGCCTGTCTCCAGCTCCCCCCAGCCCTGCCCTGCCTGGCCATGGCCCCTGCTGAGCCAGGCTCCTTGCGGGCCCATGTCCTGGCCCAGCCTTGGCCTGGCCCTCCTTCCCATGGCTCTGCCTGTCCATCCTGGGCTGTGTCTGACCCCAGTTCCCTCGCCGGGTCTGATCCTGACCCCATCTGTGGGCTGATGTTCTGGCCTCACCCTGGGATCTCCCTCAGCTCCTGGTTTCCCAGCCCACGGGGAGCAGCTGGCTCTCATTGCCCCCAGACATAGCTCATCCTCGACCCCAGCGAATATAACCACATTCTTTACTTTTGGTTTTATTCATGTCTTCCCATTTGTACACACCACACCACCACAGTACTGTCAGGAGCTATTTATGGCCAAATACTGGCATACATGCAGAATGAGATTCATCTTCTTTAACTTTGTGCATCTACAAAGTAGCTGTCCCCATCTTGGTTAGTCATTCTAGGTTGCCTTCATCTTCAGTGGCAATAGGTGACCATACTTCATTTATCTGGCCTGTATCAGCAATTTACATTGGTATATAAAATGTAGCATTGTATAGGCAGTACAAGGGTGAGCGGGAAGCATGTAGAGGGGCTGGGCTCTTCGGCACTGCTTCTCCATTCCCTCAGCCCCTTGAGGCTGCACTACATTCATGGAGCCTGGCAAACTGTAGATATATTCCCAAAGCAGGGTGTTATGAGTAGCTCCCTGACAGCCAGTTCTACCTATACTGAATTCAGCCCTTCGTGATTTTTTATTTCCAGCTTCCACTTGAACCTTATGCTAATTCTATGCAACATGGGTAGTAGGTAGGGTTTTTTATCAGTTTGGTTGAGGGACAGTGATCAGGGACCTCTTGAGATGACAGTCTGTCAGACTGTAAATCAAGGAGGATCTCTCCCTTAGCAGCCACAAAGATTAAACAGACTAATGAATCAATGTTTTAGACCATCCACTCTGGGGAGCCTTCACTTAAGTCCCAGCACTGTTGGTCAGGTCAGAAAATGCTCTTTTCTGTCAAATGGTAGGTTTCCCTATGTGGTAGTGTTCATTCATCCTCCTTTGTGCAAGCTGTAAAAACCTGACAGAGGCAGATGTCAATCCATACTGTTGTGACACTTCCTCGTTCAACTCTAAAACTTTGCGAGAGGATTTCACTATCCAGTAATTGGCAAGAGAGGAGAGGCTGTGCTTGTTCATTTTGCAGAAATCAGTTTAAAAGTTCATCTTTCTATTTTTCCTTTTATTAGGCAAAATTTTCTGTTGAAGAATGAGCTATTTATAACCATCCCCTCTCCCCAAAACACCCAACCCTTTGTTTGCTGTCTTGAGGGCACTTTACCTGCATCTTTGTTCAGTCTCTTAACTTAGATCACACCGCACCTGTCATTTTATTCTCTGCCACAATATTTTTTTAAGCTAAAATCTTTGTGGAGGTACTGGATTCTGTTCACTTTGGCAATAGTTCAGTGATCCTGAAATGGTCATAAAATACAGCATATGTACTTTGAAGCACATGTTCTATTTAAGTTCATATATTCTGTCTATCTCTGATAACTGGAGTACTGATATTTAAAATGACCCTCATACCATTAAAAAAACACCCATGAATGTAGAGAATAATATATTTCTGTAGATGTGTATTACACTGAAGGCACATACCTTAATAAAATAATACAATGAAAAAAAAGTTGTTTTAAGTAAATAATTTGTTAGAATTTTTTAGCAGGAAAAATACTTTACTGGTATTTTTTAATAACCAAAATGTTGTGAGCAAGTAATACTCAAAATAGTAAATGCACTTCATTCAGCACTTCCTCAGTGATAATTTCTGTTCCTTGAGTCAGTAAATGAAGAACCTTGTCATCTTTGATTTGATACTATTTAAAAACACAGACCCGTAACTCAAGAGATCCAGTGATGAAACAGGAAAATAAATGACTGTATTAAAAATGTCATTGCCCAGATGGTCCCATATAGAAGTTCTGATCTGAGTACTCCCTAATTAAAGAGAAGGTGACTGGAATCTAAATTTATCTTATAATTTTATAT